GATCTTTAATTATTAATACAATAGTTTAACATCTTTGTAGATATTACCTAACATCTCTAGTGACACAATGCAAGAACCTTCAACTTGTGAAATAAAGGCTAATGAAGCCATGTTTATCGTTTTATTAGAGGGCAATATTTGAACTTGACAACGTCTGACAAGCTGTAGATTAATAAAGCTGCTGCTACTACCTGTATCTATAAGACACTTTGCTAGTAAATTGAATTTGAAGATACAGATATTACGTGAGCCAAATTTTCTGTAGCAGCGGTGGTTTTAGACGTTTTGTTTTTACTTGGGCATACGTTTGTGGCAGGTTCTACAAATCATATTAAATGCTGGGCACTCTTGTCTTATGTGTTTTCAACCTCCACAAAAGAAACATCTAGGAATATCTGCGTTAGAAGCAGCAATCATATTCGATTCTGATTCCGAGGGATGAGAGTCGTTGGAAGAAGAAATATAATTTACAAAAGAAGTGGAGGGTGAAAAACTAGCTGATTGAACTTGAGCACTTTCAAGAGTGAGAGCTTTATTGTAAACCTTTTCTAAATCGACGGTAGAATCTTTCAATAGTCTTTGGCGTATAAAATTAGAAGATAACCTTGTTATAAAAGCATCACGAATGTAATCTTTCTTATTCTCTTCTGCTGATACAGCCTTAAATTCGCAATGTCTTGAGAGTTCTTCCAGTATCCGTAAGTATTGATTTAAATTTTCACCTGACTGCTGACAACTTGTGGCAAGCAAGTGTCGAGCATAGATTTGATTCTTTGGTTTTATGTAGACATTATCTAAAACTTCGAAAGCATCTTTTAAAGATCTACATTCATTAATCATTTTAAAGATGCGATGAGCAAAAGTATTCACAAATACTTGTTTCTTATCTTCTGTTAATCCATCTTTTTTTTTGATATTGAAAACGTTATTGAATGTCTGTTTCCAATAAATCCAATTATCTGCTGCATGAGGAGAAGTAGGATCTGTTTTGAATCGTGAGGGTCGCAGATATTTCTCTAAGCGTTCCATAAATGAATTTTATGTTGAATAAATTGTAATGAGAAACCAGAATAAATGGCTTTATTCAACATAAAATAATGCGTACAAAATAAATTAAACTGACAAGCGAATATTAGTAATGACAACGATAATGATTAATATACAGGGCGGAAAATAGAGAAACATTAAAGGGTCGTTTGATTTGAGCGAGCGAGACTGAGAAGTGATGACGCCACAGTAGAGCATTGAATCAAATCAATAAAACGGAGTAAAAAACATAACCTCGCTTTTTGTAATTCTTGTTTCTGGTTTGTGTGGTAAAATAGTGAGCAAAAAGTAAATAAAATGGAAAAACTTTTAATAATAATAAGGGTAATGGCCCTGAAATGCAGCATACACCACAAATGCCCGCTTCGCTTTCATACTCCATGACTGTGATTACTGATGATTAGATCTGGGCAGAGAAAATGTATTTTCCAAACACACATTTTATTTTTTTATGACGAATAATTTTAGCTATAAGACAAAAGCGGCATAAGTAATTTTTTGACTTCTTGTCTGGTCTTTAATTTTGAGATTCAAATTTGTTTGTAGGTTAATTAAAAAGAGATAGAGACAAAGAAAAATTTCTCCCTCTTCCCGATCCTTCTGCTCTGAGAATATCGAGCCTGCTCTATGTTCTCGCTCCAAAGCAAAACAAACACTTTAGGGATCTCTCGGAGCGTTAATTCAAACACGTTTGTAGCGCTCGGAGATTTCCGATGATCAAACGCACCATATATCATATCTATTGCGTTTCAAATATCTCCATCTTCTTTGTTTTTCGCTAAATTCAGTATCCTTGCAATTGCCTTTATACTACCATTTGGGTTGTTCCGAATTTCTCCTAAGATAAGTTTGTCGTCTGTATAGCGCATTTGATTTAAATTGTACCTCCTTGTCTTAAAAACCGCTCCAGTCCTTGCAAACAATCATGCATTTCAGCAAAGGTATTATGAGAAATTGATGCTTTCACTGAATATTTCAGCAACCTGACGCGTAGATCTTTTATTATTACCAAATAAGCGGATAATTTCTACTTTTTCTCCAATTGTAAGAACTACTCTTCGGTTTTGTGCCATCTTATTAACAGTTAAGTAACACTGATTGACTTATTTTCATTTTTTACGAATTACTAAATGTCAAACAAAAACATTTGTTTCAAAGCACACTTTGATTAACTTGTTTAAAAAGAGAGCGCGCGTATCTTGGTAAAATTTCAAAAAATCTAAATGATAGTATTAACAGCATTTACAAGGAAAATGAATTTACCAAAAACGGTATAAAGGTGTTAGAATTGCAATAGGATTAGGGCATTTAAACTAAAAATCTGATGTGCCCAACACATGACTTTCCTATCTAGTTATTATAGGCTTTTTCCGGTTATTTTGTACGACCTATTGCAGCACTTCTATAAATGTTTAGAGGATAAACTAAATATATACATTTTCCACATACATCTACCTCAAAACATTTTTCTATAGATATTCATTGAAAACGAAAATACTGAAAAATTTAAATTTAACACTTTTCCTCCAATTTTTCCATTACGGTCCATTTTAGAAAAATCATGTATAAACAAAAATTATAGAGATCGATATCGCAAACAATTTTCTTAAAAATCAGAATTTTGCACATTTTGTCAAATTTCTCGAATACGGGCCATTTCAGGAAAATTTGACATAAAGAAAAATTATGGATAATAATATTAGAAGTAACTTTTATTTGAACAATTTTCTTCTCCAAACATAAATAACAGATATATTCCATAAAATATAAAAACGGCCGAAATAAAACTTTTTCTTTATCCGTTTTTAAGTTTTCTTCCAAATTCTAAATTTACACATTTTCGCAAATATCTCGAATACGGTCAATTTTAGAGAAATTATGTATGGCATAAAAATTATAGAGAATTGTATTACAAACAACTTTTATTTGAACAATTTTTATAAAAAATATTTTTTTTACATTTTGTCAAATTTCTCGAATACGGACCATTTTAGGAAAATTTTGTTTAAAAAAAAAAATATTGATAATATTGTAAGTAACTTTTATTTGAAGAATTTTCTTCGCCAAGCATAAATAACAGATATATTCCATAAAATATAAAAATGACCCCCTATAAAGTGCCCCCCCCCCCCCCCAGATATTCCGACTCTACCCAAAATCTAATCAATTCATTGGACGCTAGAATAAAGCTTAAGTTAAAAATTTGGTGTTTTTCTTTGTACCGGTTCATAAGTTATGGTGGATACAGACACATACACAGACATCATGGCGAAAATAGTCAAAACGGATTCAGGGAACCTCACAACATAAAAATCCGTCGAAAACTCGAGGTCGAAAACTCGAGGTCGAAAACAATCATGATTCCTATACTTTCCTTATATCTGTAAACAGATAGGAAAGTAAAAAGTTTAACATAACCAACCTAAAAAAAGGACTTAAAATAAATTAATTTGTTTTTCTGTCAAAATCAGCTCTTGAGATTTTAAAAATATAAATTAAGGGATTTTTGAGATGTCGATTCTAAACCTGATAGAAAAAATTTTCTAAAATAAGTCCTAATATCCTTTTCACAAAAAAAATAAACGCTATTTTACCCCCCAACACCAAACGGCAATGGTAAATAAAAATGTTCAACATGCCAAATATTTCAATTTTCTAACATACAATAATCACTACCAAAATTTAAAAAAAATCGCATTATAATTGAGATATTAGGATGTACTCATGAAAAGCGAGACACACTGTATACCATATAAATCAGGAAGTAGGGTGCCGCATGAACTTGTCTGAAATAGGAATAGACAAGAAATGATTTTATTGTCTTCAATTATTAAAAATGCTGTATTATTACAGCGTATCATTATTTTTGCTAATTCGTCGGAGTTGTTAACAAGTGCAACTCCCAATTATACAGGGTGTAACTAAATAAGTGTAAAACATTTAAGGGGGTGATTCCTCATCGAAAAAAAGATAGGATCTTTCATATAAAGAAACTTCATTGGAGCATCCCTTGTTAAGATACAGCCCCTTAAACGGGGTACATAAAATTTGTTTAACAATTTTTTTCACAATCACTAAACAAGTTACAATATTGAAATTAACCTGACATTTTCTACTACCAAAAAGACACTTAGCCAGTAATTTATTTGGTTTACCCCATGGTTATAAGGGGTGGAAAACGCAACTCCTCTTATTATTTGTTTACCATTTAAAAATTTATTTCCGATAGCCTGTTTCATTTTAAACAAAAAATGTCTCTTGAATTTTTTGCCCAAAATAAACCAGTTCGCAGCAAAAAATTATTCCAGTTCACATTTATGACGATGTATCTCTGTAGTTGTTCGTAAAATAATTTTTTGCTGCGAACTGGTTTATTTTGGGCAAAAAATTCAAGAGACATTTTTTGTTTAGAATAAAACAGGCTATCGGAAATAAGTGTCTTTTTGGTAGTAGAAAATGACAGGTTAATTTCAATATTGTAACTTGTTTAGTGCTTGTGAAAAAAATTGTTAAACAAATTTTATGTACCCCCTTTAAGGGGCTGTATCTTAACAAGGGATGCTCCAATGAAGTTTCTTTATATGAAAGATCCTATCTTTTTTTCGATGAGGAATCAGCCCCTTAAATGTTTTACACTTATTTAGTTACACCCTGTATATACTGTTGTGGTTCAATAATCAGTGTGATTTGTAATTGTTTAAGGTAAGTTAACTGTTAACTTAATGAAACTAGGGTATTTTGATCAGTAAAAGGTAAAAATTATTATTATTTCTTTTGTTTTTCCCGAAACAAGCGTTTATACGCTTATCGAGTATATTTTATTTACAGATATTGTTTTAAATTGATATAATACTTCGTAATTGTAATTATATTATCAGATTGCTTACCCTTGTGATAGATAAAATTAAGATAAGCCTAGCATAATTTCTTTATAATTTTTATTCAAGTGGTGGATTTTAGTATATATAATTGGCATAAAAGAGACAACGTATCATTCATTTTGTTGTTCTATCTAGGTAAGTCTTTTTAATATTACTGCTGTTAAATATTTTTTCTACACCCACATAGATTATCTACGCACAGATTACAAAACGAAAAAGTATGCTATTGCCTTCAACTGAACGAATATATTTGATATCCATTCTAGGTAGTGAGAACGCTGCAAAACAATGAAATCCACCAATCACCGTTCATATTTTGATCAACCGACTGTTATTATTTTTAAAATTTTAAATAAGTGATAATTCTGTCAAACTAATTGTCAGTATATTTTTTAGTTACCGTAAATATGTCCTACTTTGCCCAGATAATTCTAATTTTTTTAATATATTTTTTTTTATTACTTGTTAACTATAGCTGTAAAATTATCTAGAGAAATAGCAAAGTGTTACCAATATACCTGATTATAGTTACGTATTAACAAAAAAAAAAAAAATATTCAGGAAAAAAAAAATAAAAGGGTGGTGGGCAAAGTTGTACTGGTGAGAATCAACTTTGCCCGGCCGTAAAAAAGTCTTGCAGTGCCAAGTTGAAAGCATAATAAGACAACTTTGCCCACGTTTTATGTTTTAAAAAAGCATTTTTTATTTGAAAAAAAAATTAAACAAATTTCATTTTCGATATTTTCTTTATTAAAAATTGAAATAGAAAACAACGTAAATATTTTTTCTTCTCCTTCCAAATGTAACAAGGAACTTTGATCATATAATCTAAGGCAATTTAAATTAAATGTCAATTACACTTTAGATCATAGGCATAACATTACTAGACTGTTATTTATGATTCCAAAATATGCCAGATTTAATATAATAAAATTTGAATCAATTTGTGAATGGTCGTATTTAACTTCTTACTGTTACTACTCGTTGAATTTAGGATACAGTTCCTTATCTCATACTGTTTATTTTCCAGAAAAATCAAAATGAAATTATTCATTGTCTTCGCTGCAGCTCTTTTGGTAGTTACTGCCCTTCCGGCCCAACAACACTGGATATCTTTCAAGGTATTTTCTTTATACAAAAAGTTTCCAAAATTTTCCAAAATTCCAAAAAAATCAAATTGAAATGAATTAATTCAAATTATTCATATTTGTGAAACTTTTTATAGATCTTATAGAACATACCAAAATTGTACAATGTTGGCAATGGTGCAATGATTGCAAAATGGAAGTTGTTCTTTAAAGAAATGCCGATGACGACATTGCATTTACATGCATCAGAATATCAATGCTATCCTTTAATCTATTTTTTTTCTTTACTTTTGACTTGCATAAAATAATAATTTTAAAAGTTCATAAAATTCCATTATTCCAAAAAACACAAGAAACTGTAATGGTTTTTCACATATTTTTAAATTTGACAAAAAAAATAATGAAAAGAAAATATTAATAATTCTAACTTCCATAAATGAACATTAAAAACATGTTTAAAAATTATAAAACAAACTAATAATTCTATTAAAGCAATCGAAATCTGTAATAAAATATAAAAGATTTATGAATATAAAAGATTATATTATACAGGGTGATTCGAGAGGAAGTGGCAATATGTTAAAGACATATAGAGGAAACCAAAATAAGCTCATATGTTCCGCTTTTCATTTGCTTCAGAGATAAATCACTTTTTTTTTAAATGTCAAAGTGCATTAATTGTTTGCGCGGTACGACGTAGAAACAAGAGAAACGTTACCTACTTCTTCTTAAAGCACCAGATATCATTAAAGCGAAATCTGAACACTGAAACTCGCTACTAGTGCAGTTTATAAAGGCACAAATAAGTGTATCGAAGTGGGCGATGGTGTTTTCGAAAATTTGTTGTAAAAATAATGTTATTTATTTATTTTTGTAATGTATTTTGTAATAAATTTTTGTTTATCTTTTCAATCACAACTCATCAAAATATCTCTGAAACAAATAAAAATCGGAATTTAACATATCACCTTATTTGGCATATTTTGGGTTCCTCGACATGTCCTTAAAACTTTGCCACTTCTTTCCGAATCACGCAGTATAAAAATCAATAAAAACAAATTTTTCGATGTTAGTTAAATATCACGCATTTTTAAAAAAATAATATAGTAGTAGAACATGGGGAGAACTGGATCAATGAGGGGTGGCAATGAGAATTCTGGGTCATGCAGTTTAGGCTATGCAATAGCAATGAGTTTTCAATCAAGGTACTGTGTTGAGAGTTCCAGATCATAAAATACCAATAAGAGATCTCGGTCATGGATCTGTATTGAGACTTTTGGGCTATGCAGTCTAGGCTATGTAATAGCAATGAGAGTTCTCGGCCAAGGAACCGTATGAGACTTCTAGACCATGCAATAGCAATGAGAGTTCTCGGTCATGTATACAAATTGGGTATTTTGGGCCAAGAATCTGTTTGGGGAGTTCTGGACCACGTATACAAGAATCTGGGTGACGTTTTCTGCAATCAAGTGACCGTTTTCGGACATTCTGGATCTCAATGCTAAAAGCTAGTTCTACAATCAAGAATATTGATAATATTTTTTATCTATTTTAACAAAGCAATAAATTAAATACGCTAATTAACTAAACCATTATAGATAATTGATTTGTTTTGCAAAAATTATGGTCTAATTACCATAGAATCTTGGACACCAAAGCTTTTTAAATGGAAAACGTGTAGTTTACTCTGGACAGTAGAGTGCTGGTGTGACATTTAAGTAAAGGTTGGACATATATTGTTAATAATTTAAATGGGGGAGAGTTATTTGTAATAGGGTAAAGTCAACATTGGACAATGAAAATAAAATATATTTTGTTTCAAAATTATAATTTTAAAGTAACAGTATTAAGTATTTACAGTAACTCAATGAGTTTCAAAATTGCCTCTCTTTGAAGCTCAGCTTTTTTATTTAGGCCCATTTTCAGTAAACTTGTAATTAGTTTTTTTTTCTTAATTTGTTGTTCTTGGTAATTATTCCTAATTTCCATTCCCCGTTCTGTTTTATAATATTGTCTTCGTTTCTCGTTAGCTTCTTTACTTCGCCTTATTCCATCGGTACCTCTATCACATCTACATGTGGATTTATCATGAAGTTCTTTTTCCGATGTGTATTTTTCTGTCTCTAACACCTTCAGATGCTAATTCTGAAATTTCTGTGCGTACTAAGCAATACTGTTTTCCTCGGGAATGTAGCCAGTTTTGTTTGAATACTTTTCTATCGTAATGAGAATGAGGTGTACCTCTAAGACCATCTCCATCTCTTCTAAGCGGCTTTTGTCCATCAGGACAGGTTATGTATCTGAGGACACCAACAGCATGGTCCATGCAAATTATTTTCTTGAAAGTTGTTTTTGAATGGAGTTGTGTACCAGTGCGCTGTAGTTTTTTCTTGTAGGCTAACATTTTAAATTCATTAGTAAAATGTATTAAAGCGTGAAGATGTTCATGTGCTGTACTACCATCGTTTGCTATAAGATGACATCGACAAATAGAATACCATTTAATATTTGGAGCACAATCAAGTAAATTAAAGTCGTTTTCATTTAATATTAAATGATACCATTCTTTAGACAATTCTTCGTAATCTTGTGCCATTTCTTGTGGCGACAATGCGTTAATTTCATTTAGATTCAAGAGAGTCAAATAATCAGTTTTTGACATAAAGACATTTTTTTGTTATTTTTAGAGAAGCTACTCCTAGAGAATGTCTCAGTAGACTGGAAGAGTCTTTAATGTCTCAATACCTTAAACAAATAATTCATTACCCCCACCACCAAGACTTTTGCGCACGCGCAGTAGTACAAACGAACGTGATGAAAGCGTCGTTGCAATATGCGTTCACGTGAACAAAGGTTAGGTTAGGAGGGCATACGAGAAGTTCTCCTTGTTTCATCGTTTTCTTATTTTTCATCTTTTCTCGGTAAATTGCTGTAGAACTTCTCAAGGAAATAATTTGCATGGACCATGCTATTGGTGTCCTCAGATACATCACCTGTGCTGATAGACAAAAGCCACTTAGAAGGGATGGAGATGGTCTTAGAGTTACACCTCATTCTCATTACGATAGAAGAGTATTCAAGCAAAATTGGTTACATTCCCGAGGAAAACTGTGGCTTAGTACGCATAGAAATTTCAGAATTAGCATCTGAAGGTGTTAAAGACTTAGAAAAATACACATCGGAAAAAGAACCTTATGATAAATCCACATGTAGATGTGATAGAGGTGCCGAAGGAATAAGGCGGAGGGAAGAAGCTAACGAGAAACAAATACAATTTTATAAAACAAAACGGGGAATGGAAATTAGGAATAATTACCAAGAAAAATAAATTAAGAAAAAGAAACTAATTACAAGTTTACTGAAAATGGGCCTAAATAAAAAAGCTGAGCTTCAAAGAAAGACAATTTTGAAACTCATTGTGTTACTGTAAATACTTAATACTGTTACTTTAAAATTATAATTTTGAAACAAAATATATTTTATTTTCATTTTCCAATGTTGATTTTACCCTATGCATTGGTGTCCAAGATCCTATGGTCGAAGTAGCTAATCAGATGTAGTGAAAAGTGGAGTGGTGGGGGGGCTCCCAGGTGGCCCAATACCTACTTAATATTAAACATCTCAATACCAACCAAAAAGTTTAATGGTATAAAATACTTCTCAAAACCGATAAAAATTTAAAATACCGCATTAACAAAATGCACCTGTTCTCTCTAAAGCCGAAATGGCTATCAGCGAGACTAGTGTGTATTCACGCCCTCGCGACATTTACACACTGCCTGAAAGGCTGTTGAAACGCGGTCTATGAGGTATAGAACGTCGTCGTTCTATAAAAGTAACCTTGTAATATCTACAAACCATATCGACTGTAAAAAATCTATTATAAAACACAGGTACCTTAACGATGATTTTTTTATTAAAGGCCAAACATGGGAAATCGTACGCTACTCTAGAAGAAGAAAAAGTCCGTTTCCAAATTTTCCAAGACAACGTACTAAAAGTAAATACGCACAATGCCCGCTATGAAGCCGGACTTGAGACCTACACCATGGCAGTCAACAAATTCGCTGATTTGACACAAGAAGAATTTGGAGCAATGCTCAGACGCATTAACGGTCCAATTCCCAAAAAGAACTTGACTCCTCATGTTCAGAGCGTTCCTGTTCCAGAAGCTATCGACTGGAGAGAAAGGAATGCTGTTTCTGCAGTCAAGGACCAAGGAGATTGCGGATCCTGCTGGGCTTTCAGTACCGTATGTATAATTATAATCAACATTTTATCACAAACGTCCATTATTTCTATAATTTCCCTATTATATACTTACTGTAGTGTTTCACCAATTATTAGTTTATGATTAATTTTAGACTGGTGTATTAGAAGGACAGAACGCGATTAAAAACAACATAACAGTGCCACTCAGTGTACAACAATTGATTGACTGTGACAAAGAGTTGAATCAAGGTTGTAACGGTGGTGACATGGTGCCCGCTATTAAATACGTCATTAAACACGGTCTTAACAGCGAAACTGAATACCCATACAAAGCTAAAGATGGAAAATGCAGAGCCAAAAGCGATTCTGTCGTTCAAGTTAAGGATGTCGTACATTTTCAAGGCGAATCTGCCCTTAGGGATACTGTTGGTAAGTAATAACGAACTCGCGAGCATCCTTCATCCTTCTTCGTAACTCAATTTCAAATGTACTTGCTTTCTATTTCGTCTATTTTCGGCTATCTTTAGCCAAATAATTTATACGTTTTTTACAGCATCAGCTTGCTGTTTTCCCAATATATTTTATTTTCATTTCGTCTTCATTGTAATACTTGGCATTAATATTGGAAAATATAAAGAATTTACCAAAAATTCTAAAAAAGTAATTTTAATGTTTTAAATTAAAAATTCAAAGGGAAACACACGTATAGGAATAAAACAATCAGGTTATTAATCCAGTCATTGACTTACATTGAACTAGGGAAGTCAAGGTAAAATGTTGGCATTTTAACACCTAAATTTTGGGTTTATATAGAGAGATTGGACAGAAAGAAAAGACTTTGAGTGCGGACTAAGGGCGAGAGCTCTCGTTTTTTCGGGACTATGAGTTCCGAAACACCGAAATGTGTACAGTAAAGTTTTGTGCAGCGATTGTGTAATATAGGTAAATATCTTTAACTCCTTTTTAAAGTGTTTTGTTTGATAATAATTAACTGATTTACATATAAATGCCAATTTTACACTTTTCGTCCAGAGTATTATATTTATCATACACATATTTTATATTATTATACAGGGTGTTTTTTAAACATGCGGCAAAAATTCAAAAGGTTGTTCCTTGGACTGTTCTAAGAATATTTTGTCCTTTGATGATTTTTGAAAATCCGTTTTGTTAAGTGGAAAAAAATAGCCATTTTTAGTAATTGGAATGTTGTTAAAAAATAATAAAACTAACGAATTTTTAAAAAAGTTGTATGTTCTTGGTTAACACGGTATAGTACCTATTTTTATTCAGACTATTAATAATTTTAAAAATAAAAATAGTTTTCTCGAAAATGTTATGCGCTCTGTATTTCCTAAATGAAACGGAATTTCAAAAATCATTAACGAACAAAATATTCTTAGAATAGTCCAAGGAACAACCCCCTGCCTGCATGTTTAAAAAACACCGTGTATAATTAAAATTTCCTGTACTATTTTTAATTGTTAATAAGTCCAAACTGTATAATTCAATAGGAAGTTTCTCTAGTTGTCATAAATCACAGGTTCTTTAAGTAAAAATTTGGATCTATTATCAAGTAGTGCTTTATTTCCTAAATATAATTTGAGCAATTTATTCTTTAGACCAGTATTTCCTAAAGTGGTCCAGGTAGACCTTCACGGAAAACTCGATGAGGGTCTACGTTGGGCGTAATAAAAAATGGGGGTCCACAACCGTAAGCGGGGGTGCATGAAAATTAATTTGGTTTAGATTGTGAAGCAATATACTATTAAACAATTGATTACTCATTTTGCCATGTGATGAAGAAATTCCTGTAAAAAACTTCAACTGTTTATAATATAAACAGACAACATTTTAGTTACTAAAATGTTGACTTCTCTCATCAATATAGGCAGATAATATTTTAAGAAGCTCAGCGACTGTTACTTATAAAAACTTGCATATTCCATATTCAGTACAACGCGTCGAGACTTGTCGTTGCCGCGCCGGCCGCCGTCCCGTCCGCAACGCTTGTTCAGACGTGCAAATTAATATGACTTGTGGTGTATGTGCTTACAATCTTGCATGCACGTGTTTGATTCTTCACCAATATAAATACGAATGTCAAGGATAATCGTTACTCATTTGTTTCTGGAATTTCATAAAGAAAAGTGAATCGATATCAGTGTTGGCCAGTGACTGAATTTGTTTCCAGACTTTCGAAAAGAAAAGTAAAGTGAATCGATATTAGTGATTGTCAGTGTCGGAAAAGTAAGTACCTACCTACCTATTTGTTATATGCATATAGTTTTAAGCCGAGAAAGATTAAACTTATCGTCCCTACTTTATTTAATTCATTTAGTTATTGCGGAGTTTTGATATCAAAACGTTGTTTAAAAGTTTCTATACAGAAATATATTAAAATATAATAAATGAAATAATAATTTTATGTCACATTAAAATAAGTTGAGCCGTTTTCATAAAACTCTATTAAGGATCTTAACGATTTATTGCTTTTAATAACTAGAAACAGTTTGCAGCTGGAAGTTTGTTTACTTCATAATATTTATAATAATTGATTAATCATATTATGTTAAAATAGCCATATCCTGTTAAGTTCGAATCGCCTTAAGATTACTAAAACAATTTTTTTTTTTATTTATTTACTTACACATTTACAGGTAGATAATTGATACAAAACATGGCCGAATCTAAGAAGAAGTGCCGTCAGTACAGTGTTGAATATTTAAAATTTGGTTTTCTTCCATCAAAGGCAGACAAACGATTGCCCACATGCCTTTTATGCAACAAAGTTTTGAGCAATGACTCTATGAAACCATCAAAGCTGGAAGATCATCTAAGAAGGTGTCATCCTAACAAAAATAGGTAAAGATTTGAAATATTTCCAAACATTAAAGGAAAATTATGAAAAGAGACCCACCGTGCACAGTATGTTCCCTTTAAGTGTACAAACACAGTAGAAGCAGATTTCCGCTTACCGGCAATCAGCGCCGAGCCGCGCTTATAAGCTTTCAAAATGAATGCATGTTTTTAAATTAACAAGTACACAGTTAAAGCAGGTCGGCGCCACTAACCAGCGCTAACCTGCGTTCTCGCATTTGCCGGAATGACAATTTAGTTTATTTCTGCTTTTGGTACGCGCTGGTTTAGTGGTTGTATCATGGATAAGAAAGCACTTATTGCTACGGTTTTTGAAAGACTCGCTATTTGGACCAAGAGAGAGAAGTTGCATTGTAACCGGAATGAGATAAATATTGGAAGGAAATAAACACTTAAATAAAACGAACATCTTTCATTTTTCAAAAGTTTGCTGCCGCACGTAAGGAAAATACTATCTTTTCGTTGTCGCGTACAGAAGTTAGTGGAACAATATTCCTATTAACTTTACATTTGTTCTCGTCCATTATCTTCTACATCATCTCATTTTAGTGCGCCTTTACCTGGTTATCACAACATAGATCAAAATGACCATACATCCGTTTCTTTAAGCCAACTTAAAACTTATCCGCGTCCATTATCTTCTACATACTCCCATTCTAATGCGCCTTCTCCTGGTTATCAGAATGCCTACTCTTCCGTTTCCTTAAGCCAACAATCAACCACGTCCCAAAATCATCTTGCTAATGATCCTAGACCCCTTAAAAGTAACCAACAACAAAATATAACTGACAATAATACTACAGATTGTATACCAATTCTCTTTCTATTCAGTTTAGTTAAAACAGAATCCAAAGCAATCAGATCGTAATCAGAAAAAGACAATTTGCTAGAAGTTGTAGACGCAACGATTTTTCTCGCTTTTACAGGTATTCACTCTGTACCATTTCTGTACCATTCAGTCGCGAGACAACGGCGCATATCGGCACTGATTGCAGGTAAGCGGAAATCTGCTTCTACTGTGTTTGTACCCTAACGTCTGAAAACAACGATGATGGCTTGCGGGCATTTTACAATATCTCATTACTTATCGTAAAATCTGGAAAACCGCACACCATTGGAGAACAGTTAATTTTACCTGCTGTTGAAGAGGTTTTAAAAACTGTTATGCACAAATCTTCATTTGACATTTGACTGCAGTAAATTGGACTAGCTATACCGACCTAAGGAATTTTACTACTGGAGCAATTCGACGAGAAAAAAAGGCTTATTTAAACTTTATTCTTAGAGAAAAGAATTCCAAGACCACCTGGAACACTCTTAGATCCTTAGAAATTCTTAGAAAAAAAGCCAGTCCTATTATACCACCTAACTTAAGTAATGTTACTGAAATTAACAAACATTTTAATTCATCTCCTACTACTCTGAAGTCACATGACCAATTAGCCTTACTTGATCGGTACTATGAAAATATATATGAAAATAAATTCGAATTTAAATCTGTCTCTTCTGATACAGTTCGAAAATCTCTAAATCGTATAAAAAGTCATGCCGTTGGTTTAGATAACATATCACTGCGCATGATACAGTTAGTAGAAAATTATTTAATCAATCATTTAACATTTATTTTTAATAAAATAATTTCTTCGTCTCATTATCCACTTTCGTGGAAACGGGCCTTTATTATTCCGCTTGCTAAATGTAATCAACCTACTAGCTTATCTGACTTGCGTCCTATTAGTATTCTACCAACCCTTTCTAAATCGTTTGAATTTATACTTAAAGATCAAATTAGCAAATATGTATATGACCAAAATATAATAACTCCAGCTCAATCTGGCTTTAGAATGCACCATAGTACGACCACTGCCCTCTTATCTATCACGGATGACCTTTTTAAAGCGACAGACCTGGGAAAAATCACATGTTTGGTTCTTCTTGATTATAGCAAAGCATTTGATACTTTAGATCATCCAACACTTTGCAAAAAACTGAAATTTTTCGGTTTTTCTCATAAATCCGTTCGTCTAATATCAAATTTTCTTAGCAATCGTACTCATAAAGTTATTTTGGAAGCTGATGTATCCAGCAGTCTATCCGTTAGTCAAGGTGTTTCGCAGGGATCCATTCTGGGACCATTGCTGTTTTCACTATATATAGCAGATTTTCATAGTTTTGTTAAAAATTGTGTGATACATCATTATGCAGATGATACCCAGTTATATCACTCGTTTAATAATAAGTGCTTACGTACTGCCCAAAGTCTTATTAACGATTTAAATGCATTACTTGATATTTCTACAGCTCACAACCTCAAAATAAATTCTAAAAAATCATCCATCATGTTATTTGGCCCCAAAAAATTAAGACAATTAACAATAAACGCATTACAAATTAAATTAGGCGATGCTCTTCTTCAATTCACGAATGAAGGAAAAAACTTAGGTCTCTGGTTAGATTCTGATCTTCGTTGTAGTAAACATACCTCCACCATATCTCAAAGTTCGTTCAACGTCTTGAGACAGTTGTACCCTAACCGAGACCTGCTTTCCACACAACTCAAACTTAAACTTTGTGAATCTCTCATTTTTTCCAAACTCAGTTATTGTGATTCCATCTACGGTCCAGCCCTACTCCAATCCGATTCCGCTTGTTTACAAAAAATTCAGAATAGCTGTCTACGTTTCGCCTATGGAATTCGAAAATTTGATCATATCTCGAATAAAATGAAAGAATCAGGTTGGTTGACTTTCAATAACTATCGCCTTTTGCATTTATTAACCCAAGTTCACAAAGTTTTACTCATACAGAAACCTGATTATTTGCACGAAATACAAGTTTTTCCTTTTTGAATCTAAACTACGTGCACACAGCTGTCAACCTTTTTTGGTTTTTTCAATTATATTTTTTTGTAAATACCATTGTAGAAATTACATTACGTTATAAGTGTTTAATTTTAATTATATTACGACGGTTATAACAATAATTATTAATATTCTAATAATTTATGTATTTAAATTTAAATAAATACCTACAACACAAGGAAATATACGATATTTCTTTTTACCACTCCGAATGGGACGTTTTCTAAATAAAATTTGTGATAATTGATTGGTTCTTGTGCTGTGAGTCACTATAGATTTCAAAAAAGTAAAGTTGGATGGAGTTAATTTTTCGTTTCGCCAAACTTTGCTTTTTTGACATCCACTTATAGCACAATCAATTAAAATTTAATTGAAAATTTGTTTAGTTGACTTTATTATCAAATAAATAACCCTATCAAGCAATCAATCCTAACCTTTTTTTTTTCTAAAACTGTTAATTCGTCGTTAAAACTCAGCCACAATGCAAGTTTTCATAGATAGATCTAATCTTCACCTTTTTTTTAACCACCGGATCCAGCAAAATTTTGAAAGTGGTCTATGAAACAAAAGAGTTTGGGAACCTCTGCTTTAGACTATTAGTCAATGTTGTACTTATTTTAAATATACATTTGTTAATTTTTTAATACTTATTACTAATCTCTCCTCTTCTCTTCATTAAATATTCCGAGCATTTGTGAAGCCTCGGCGTTTCTATTCCCTTAGGACTAAAAGAATCTAAAACTAGTTGCCAAGAACCGCTCGAATATGCTATTAAGAGATAACTTTTGTTCTTTTTATTCAATTTTTTTCATTATTTTTATTTACCACTGGTGAATGGATGTTCCATTTGGACTCCAGGATCCTTTGGCTGGTAACAGTGCTGCCTTAATCCCTTAATAGTATATTAACAACAGTAGCTAAAGACCTATTAGTAGTTACAAATGGTCTTTAGGCTAGTTGGTTGTTACATTTGGTGACAAGCGGTGGTCCTTTAGACTTCCCGGTTGTTACATCATCTCTATTCTTTGTATACATAATAAATATTTGTAAAGGTTTAAGTAAGCTATTAAAAGAATAATATTGTTTTTTAAAAGTTATAACATTAATATTTACAAAACAAGCAATATTCTTCTTTCAGCTGGTGTCCATATTTATGCTTTTTAAATGAATATCTCTTAATTAAGTTTAACCTTTTCATAATAATCTCTTTTAATCAACTTTGTCTACCATAATATCTTCAGAATTATCATTCTTCCTATACCCTCATTCTTCATTTGTTTATTTGGATTATTTGTTCCATTCTTTTCTTATATCAATATTATTTCTCTTTTAGGTACCGTTGGACCGGTCTCCATAGGCATATACGGTGATCCCTTGCAATTATACGAGCGTGGTATCTATGATAGATTCGTTTGCTTCAACTCTTCTGATTTATTGGACCATGCTGTTCTGGTTGTAGGATACGATACCGTGAACAGCATACCATACTGGATCATTAAAAACTCATGGGGTACTGACTGGGGTGTTAACGGTTTCATGAAGATGGTTAGAGGTGAATGGATGTGCGGTATCGGCCTTGACAGTACATACCCAATCTTGGCTTGATTTATTGAATAAATTTTAATAATTTTGTAAACTATAAAATCTTTTGATAAATATATAAGTTAGTATTAATAAATTTAACTCTAATTTTTATCTTCTATATATACGGCAAATTGTCTGTATATCCGGGGTGACATAAAGGATAGACCGGGCAATGTATGGGGGATATAATGGGTGGTATGAATAAAACCAAGTATTTGGTAAAACTAGACTATTTATAGGCAAATACTAGATTTGGAGTGAATAAACTTAGCATGAGCTAGGGCTAGATAGTTCTAGATTTTTCCTCATGTCTGGCTTGTGCTTAAATATTGAGGTGAATTAAAACTTCAGCTGGTTTTTTTATATAGCTTTTGTTAAGAAATCTGTAAATATGGTCGGAGGCTCACTTCACTTTGTCTAGATTTTTCTACGATAACAGTTTCAAATTAGTGGTTTGTTTTCAAAAATGGCGGAATTTATGCCCATCCGTAAACGTAAAATTTACAGTGTTAGTAGGGAAATCGGACTGCGCAACTATAAAGAACTCTTCAGATTTGAAAGTCGGAGTATAGACTTTTTAGCGGCTGAATTCCTTTTCGAAACCGATACACGTGGTGAAGGTATTTCTCAAAGGCAACAAATGGAAATATTTTTGAGGTTTGTGAGCGACCCTGATTTTCAGTCGGGTATAGGAGAAGATCTAGGCGTCCACCATACAACCGCCAACAAGACTATAAAGCATGTTATGAATCGTATAGTTGATCAATCAGGTAATTGGATCCGTTTCCCGGCTACGGCAGCTGAAATGAACGAGGCAAAGGTTTTGTAGCAAAGAGACTTTCGTTTATCAACTGTGATAGATGCACTTGATTGCACTCATGTTGAAATACTTAAACCGGGACTGGTTCGACATGGAAATGCATATATTTGTTGCAAGGGTTATCCCAGTATTAATGTACAAGCTACATGTAATGCCCTGGAAGAGTTTACAAGTATAAATGCCGACTAGCCCCGCAGTGTTTATGACGGAAGAATGTGGAGAACGAGCCCATCAGAGATATCATGTCCCGTTATGATGGAACTTTATGTTTTTTAGGGGATTCAGGATACGGGGTGTCTCCTTGGTTAATAACACCCTACAAGCCTCCTCGTAACCGTCAACAAAGGCGCTTCAACCTAAGTCATTCCAGGGAGAGAGTGATAATAGAAAGCTGTTTTGGTCAGTTAAAGAAGAGATTTCCTATTCTTGGAAACTGTGTTCGAATTGCTTTGAACACCGTGCCAAAAGTCATAATAAGTTGTGCTGTTCTGTATGATATAGCAAAGCATCTGAACGATGACTTCGACTATGGGGACTTAAATATTAACCTTGATGAAGAAAACAACGAAATGATTGAGGTTTACTACGAAAATGCTAACACAACTAGGAGAGGCAAAGACAAACGCGCTGTTATGATGCATTTACTCAATATACCATAAACAATCAACATAAAGAGTTTCGACATGAAAGTTTTGAGTATGCCATCCTTTTTGTAAACTTTGGGCTATTCCTTTATCAAGTCGATTAAATAAAATTTAAATCGTTCATATATGTGGCTTTATAACCTAATGTTGTTTGTATTATTTGTGTAAAATTAATAGTTAAATTTTTAGACACACTATATACACATACAGTGTAGAAAGGCCAAATGGAATAAATTTATTTTTATATAAACAAAAAATCGAAAATGTTTTGTGAGTTTTCATTTTTTATTTATTTTGAAGTAGGTATACAATAGGCATAAAAACTTAAGTATAGATTTCAACATTTTTTTTAACAAACAAAACTATTTTTAGTCTTCAGTCAATACCAGAAGAAGAAAAAACAAAATGAAATCAAAGAAGTTCACAGTTTACAAATCTTAAATAAGATACAACTCATCCGATCCTAAAACAGTTTGAGTTGAGTTTTCCAAACATTCGTTCTTTTGTTTTTGAGAGAGCATTTTCTTTCTCCAGTCTTATTGTGTTAATTTGGAATTGCTGTAACAATACAACTCATTGTAGTTGTGTGGTGTACAAGTCCACAGTTTCTTGACTTTCGTAATTTGCTACCAACTTTGTACTTTTCTTTATTTTCTGTTTTATGCGATCAACACCTTCATGTATGTACTTGTAGAGACATTCGTATCCTTGTTTAGATTTTGCTTAGTAACACTATCGTGCACAATATTGTTTCCTGCAGTGGATATGCCAGTGCCAACCGAAATATTTCCTGGAATTTTGTGATATACTGGATTGTCTTGGTCTATTAGTTGTAGGAACTAATTTTCCCATTTTTTAAATTTAATAGGCTTATTTCCGTTAGCTTTTACATCTGTCCTCTTTTTTATGGTGGTTTTTATGTTCTGCAATACTTTCTTTAGTTGTATTACAGTGAACAGTTTCCCGATTGAAGAAGAATACTCAGCACTGAGAGTAGACCATGTTTCTGTCTTACATTTCATCACTGACGGTGTTTTTGATTTATCCAGTAATATAATGTGGTCTTTCAACAATCTTACAAACAATGAGCGATCAATCTTTTCGTCGCCTATCGTAGTAAAAGTGATAATAGTGATATGACAGTACCGACACAGGCCTGTCACTCCCTATACTTCCCATGTTACAATATATACTGGCTCAAATCTCAATGACCTCCGTACCTTTTTCCTATTGGTCTGGGGTATTTTTGACAAATCTGGCGTCACCAATCAGAACATTGGTTGCTGTCACATGAAAAAAATGACATCTAGAAAATTGATTAGTATTTTTGCAGTTTTTCACTGCACAGACCTTCATGATGTAATTTGTAATAAAAAATACAGATCTATAACAAAATTCGATTACAAATAATTGTTTAAACCAAAAAGAGAAATTATCAGAAAGCTAGGTTATATTAGATTAGATACATTTTACCCGCGTAAAACATTTTGAATTGTTAAGGTCACAGACTTTCAGATCGACTGACATTTAAGTGCGATCTCTTGTGTTAACTATACTCTTTGATACCGATATATGTAGATACAACTGTAACACTGACCAATGAAACACATACTCACTGACCTGTCGTGACAGGAGCCGAGTGCTTGAAATCATAGAGCACAGGAATTAGTAAAAGGGAGTCTGTCGTGACATGAACCTATTAAGTGCCTATAGATTAGCATATGCTACCCGTAGCTTTTGCTTACACTTTTCCGGATAGCTTTGGTGTAGTGTTTTCCCGGATTTTAAGACTTTTTTAATTCACTTCGATAATAAGCAAACACTTAACTGCCTAACATATGCTAGTTAGCAAATGCTTGCTTTTATTCACACCACCCAATATAATCGGATTTGGAAATACTGAAAATGAAAAATCCCTAATTCCGCCTACAAAATTATGAAAATTACATCCTCCTATCCCCAAAGTGAAAACAAACCAAAGAAAATATAAAAAGCTGAGAATTATGGAAAAAAAAATTTGTGCACGACTCGGAATCGAACTCGGACTTAACCAATAGGGCCATCGCGGCACATACACTTTGATTTCCGAATTCGTAAAGTTGAAGTTAATCAGATTTATAATCCCGTCGATACATACAAATTCTCATCCTATCTTAGCTCCCTAAATTATTTTTTAAGCCACCCTTTTGACACCATGTAGAAAGACAGTAATGTATAATTAAAATCTTAAGATCGTTCATTCGTTCAACCAGTAGCGGCTTGTGACCAACATTTTGAGAGTTCACAGTGACAGAATATAGATATCGGTACAGATGTTTGAAAAAACTTTCAGTATTTAAAAAAATTTACATTATACAGTATTAAGTTTTACGGTAAGCCGTAAACGTGAAATTAAAGAAAGTGAAGTGACAAAATCGGTTTAGAGCCGAAAACTAAATGCATATTTGGAAATCACAAAAATGAAAAATCCCTAATTCCTGGGCACATCAACCTTATAGATATTCAAACTTCTTCGTTTCCGGTGCCTCTCCTTCTATACAAATGTACACTATATTTAAGGCATACAAACTACCAAATTTATTGCTAATTAAAATGATTAAATCTTATCTGTTTTAGAAAAGCGATAATAATCGCTACGAAACTGATTTAATTAAACAATTCTAACTTTTATTTGTTGGTCCAAATTGATCCATTAAAACTATTTATGTCTATAATTGTGTGATATTAAGAAGTTACAACATTTTCAATAAACCTACGTCAGTTAATTAAAAAAACTAATCTTAAATTGCTATCATCATTCGCAACACACACCAACTGCAAATTTATGCAAATTAAAATTGAATTACAATTATGGTGGAGAATTATAACAATTACATTTTGTGATTAGAAAGCAGAAGCAAATATCTATGGCTATAATTAAATTTATTACGTCAATCCATAAACAGAAGAGCGTGCGGAAGAACCTGACAATCTTTTGATCATCTATTCGTATTAGATGACCGGAATTTCAATGTTACCTGTCTTTTGATATATTAATATTATGTTCAAGTAGGGTTGGGTTTTGTAGGTTAAGTTCAACTTAAATAAATGATTATAGTTTTATCCTGAGGAGACCAAGCCAATGTTAATTTAATCACTATAAATTATACTTCATTTGATAATTAATTACACAATTAATTTAAATATACACTATGGTTTACTATGAACAATAACGCAATGAGTGAATAACAAAAGGGTTAACAAAATACATTAATAAAAGTGATGTACAATAATTATACAAAAATAGACGATCAGAAAATTAAACCAGAATTTTTAACAACTTATAGAACATATTTCAAAATTGGCGAATAGACTAAATAAAAAAATAAAAAAAAAACTAAAAAAAATTAAAAAAATTAAAAAAAATAAGAAAAATTAAAAAAATTAAAAAACATTTAAACAATTTAATAAATACAAATAACAAATGGAACAAAAATAGTAATTCTGCAAAACAATATGGAAAACAGTAAAAACAATGAGATCGAATGTAGAGGTAATTAAAAGTGTTAAAAAAAATAATTGCAGAAACAACATTATAACTGATCAGAAATATTTAATAATTATTCGTTTGTAGG